CTTCTCTGGGCAACCTGTGCCAGTGCCTCAGCACCCTCAGAGGGAAGAATTTTTCCCTCAGATCCCATGGAAATCTCCCCTCTTCCAGTTCAAAGCCATCACCCCGTGTCCTGTTACTCCACACCCGTGTCCAAAGCCCCTCTCCAGCTTTTCTGTAGCCCCTTCAGGCACTGGAAGGTGCTGGAAGGTCTCCCCGGAGCCTTCTCTTCTCCAGGCTGAACACCCCAACTCTCCCAGCCTGTCTCCAGAGCAGAGGTGCTCCAGCCCTCCCATCATCTCCGTGGCCTCCTCCGGCCCCGCTCCACCAGCTCCGTGTCCTCCTGCTGCTGGGGGATGTTTGTTGTGTTCTTAAAAGAGCTTCTCTTCATGAGCTGGAGTTTCATGGACCTCGGGTGGTTTTGGTTTTGGTTGGAAAAGGTTGTTGCGAGTCGCTGGGAAGTGAATTTGGATGATTCCTGAGCGGGGAAATTCTGTTTCAGGCCATCACGGAAGACAAATACGAAATAATCCAGTCGGTGGGTGACGCCGCCATCGTCATCAAGAACACGAAGGAGCCGCCGCTGGCGCTGACCATCCACCTGACGTCGCCCGTGGTCAGGGAGGAGATGGAGAAACAGTCAGCCGGAGGTAGGGGAGTCCGGAAACGGCCGCCAGGCGGCTGGAAACCCCGACGTTCCCGGTGCTAATCCGCCGTCCCAACGTGCTCTTCCGTTTCATCCCGTGGTTTTTGTGCAAATTCAAAATTCCAAATTCCTCTTGAGATTGACAATTTATTCGGAATGAGCTTCCGAAACTGAGGAGCAGCGTTCAGATGGCATTTTGCTCTTGTTTGGTTTTTTTTATTATTTTATTTTTTAAATCCTTGGGGTTTTTTGGGGTTTTTTTCCTTCTTTTTTTTTTTTTTATCCTCAATTTTAGTTTTTCCTTCCACTGTTAGTTCACTAATCTCGTCGTGTTAATCTCGTGTTGTACCGAGCCGTGTGCGTGACCCGCACGGCGACACGAAAATATGAAGCAGATTCATTTAGGGGAAAAAAAAAAAAAAAAGGAAAAAAGAAAAAGAAAAATCTGGAAGGCTTCTCGTTGCATGTTCCTGAAATGGGATGTTCCGCAGGGTTTGTGTTGCAGCAAGAGTGACGGGTGCTCGGGGCCTCCTCCGTCGGCTGTTTCATCAGCTGGAAAATTCGGGATTCCAGAAAGCCATGCAGAGTTTTGGATAAAGTTAACTCCTCCATTCGCTCCCACGTTCCCTTTGGAATAAGAATTTGCAGAACACTCAAAAG